ATCCACCTGTTACAAAAGAAATGGGATGACTTTCGTCATTTAGATGTTTAAGTCCCTCCTTGGAACACGTTGAAGTCAGGTGTATTTTAAGTGAGAAAGAAAATAGACACGTGGAATCAGTGAGTGTACCATGTATCCAGGTGGAGACGGAAGGAAAGAACTCACTTCTCTGCAGAAGTTCTAGTTTGTAAGATCTCATCATGATTTAAGAATACGTGCCTCATGCCAACTAGGAAGCATGGGGGGGCGGTTTACAGAACTCCCACGCTCACAGAGCGTCCCAGGAGGAGCTGCTATCAGCAGACCCTTATCTCTTTGCGAGTCCCACGCCGGGAGGGCCTCACGGAGCGCCCGGTCCCCCCACCCCTGCTGCCTGGGCTCGGCCGGTGGATCCCCACTTTCATTCAGTGACGCCAAGAACGCTGGACCTAACAGAGCCCAATGCACCTACATTAGTGACACCCTTTCCTGCCTCCCCCATGTGGACTCTCTCCCACAGGGTCAGTCCTGGCTCAGTGAGGCATGGAGGGCGGCCGGACGCAGGGCGCGGGGCGTGGGAGAGGGGGCCGCAGCGCAGGGTCCCTTGCGCCCAAAGGAACCGCAGACATAAGTGTTGCTTCAGGCTGCGAGCCGCTGAACATGCACCTCTCACGCCAGCAAGGAGCCGCCCTGCACACGCGTCTGTGCAATGCCCGCGGCTCCCAGCCAAGCCGTGTGGCAGAAGTCTTTGCCGAGAGAACACGCCGTAAGCATAGCGTTCACAGAGCTCGATTTTATTTTACTTTAAATATAGTTGCATTTTAAAAGCTTCAATAAATTCCATGATTTAAAAAAAAAAATCAAAGATACCAACACATTTCTCATGGTCCAAAAATGACTCCACACATTTTCTTTAGCAAAGTCATTTGTAATAGATTTTTCATCTGAATATTCTTAGGAACCCCTTGTACTTTCTCTGGAAATCCTGCCAATCGGCCTAGTGAATTTGGGGGAGGAAAGGGGAGGTATTGCCTTAGTCGTGGTTCTGGCTAAAAAACACTGAGTTTTCGAACTGAGAAGGATTTTCGTATCAAATTTCACCCGGTCCTCACAGATAAGGAGGTGGAGCGGAGGGAGGGGGCTGGGCTCCCCACTACCAGGGGCGAGGCCGGGGGCCCCAGGGCCCCCTCCCCGGGGCCGTGTGGGCTGGGCGGTGGGGTGCCACCGGAGTGCGGGGCCAGAAAGGCAGGACAAGGCCTGTGTGATCTCCGCTTCCAGGTCTCCATTCTCAGTGCTGACACAAGGCTCGCTCTTCCCCACGACGTGGAAGCTGGGAGCCGAATTTTCTTCCCAGCGTTGTGGGGAGCCCACTGCTCAGGGCCAGGGCCCGCGCCCCCTCCCGCCGTGCCCCGGGAACCGGCCAGCGCCCACGGGGTTCACCCCCCGAGACCAACCCTGGAGGTCCCCAGAGTCCCACGCCGGAGACAGGCACCTGCTGCGGGAGCGGGCCCTGAGGGGGCTGCGCGCGGAGGCGGCAGGCGAGCGCGGAGGTCTGGAGGCGCTGGGCTGGGAGCACCCCACGGCCTGCCACGGGGACGGAGACGCCAGGGCGGCAGGGCGGCCGGAGCGCCGGGCGGGCCGTGACCCGCAGCGCCTTCCCCTGCCGGGGCGGCCGGGGTTCAAAACCGTCGCCCCCTGCCTTCCAGCACCCGTTTGTAATTGGTGCTACACGTGACGGGTGCTGTGCTGCACTTAGAATAGAAACATATTTAAATAAGGAATACTTAGGGGTGTTGGCATTTCTGATTCTTTGATAAATGGCCTAAGCAACCAGAGCCGATGTCCTAAAGTGGCAAATATCCAGGCTTGTTAAGCTGAAGCGCCTCTGGTTTTATGTGGGAAGTGTTTTTGAAATACGAAGTATATCCCTCTGTCCCTGCATTTTAATTTATATTAAATATTTTAAGTGGTTGTAGGAATCTTCGCTATTTAACATTTAAAAAAAAAATGAATTTCCTGATGAAGTCACTTTCTGCCCAGTAATTTCTAGTCTAGCAGTGAAACCAACACGGTTGAACCCCTCGGGCCGAGCACGTGGGCTGGAAGGTGCGCTGGGCAGTTAGTTAGTGGTCAGTACCTCGATCAGTCTTTTAATGCCACTGGGCACCTTCTGGGTGAAAACCACTGTGGCTTCCAGGTGTCAGTAGTTACTAGAGAACAGAAGAAATGGGCTATATACGTTGAAATCCAGGAGCTATTAATTTATTTAAAGTTGTCGGTCTTAGCAAATGCTGCGGTGAGGTAAAGCTTCTTTGAGAGTCAGGACCAGCTTCCCCAGGACAGGCGCCCCGAGGTGCGTGGTGGCGCCGCCCCGTCCACGTCCTTCCTGCCCGGCGACCCGTCTGTGCTCGCTGAACGCCGTCGACGGGGAGGACGCCGCGCGCAGTCCGTTTTGGACACTCTGCTGATGGCCCCCGGTCGCCGTTTTTTCAGCTGCATCTCCCATGGTAGATGAAGAGAGTCCAAAATCAGGAAGCTGCATTTTTATTTCAGAAGAAAGTGAAAAACTAACAATTTCAAGACCCATCAAGATACCCGGAGATGTTGCTTAAATCCGAGCGGTCAACCCACGTGGACCTTCCTCGGAGACACGCCAGAGGCGAGCACCCACCAGAACGGATTCCACTGCTTCCACTCGAATAATCAAGGGACGTGATTCAGAAACACGGTTACACCCTGCACTTTATTCAATTCCATGTGACAAAATAGGAACCCAGACTAAGACATCCATTTCGATCAGCAGGTGTGTTGAGCCATGGATTTCATCATAAAAATATGGATCTCGGCAGCGACTCCCCGCCGGTTGGGGAGGCCTGGGCCCCACATGGCACCGCAGTACAAAAATAGTGTCTCTCTTCACCATGCCGAGGGCGGCCTCGCCCTGCACACGCAGGGGGTCAGTCTCACGAGCCGTCTTATTTACACTGTTTACATTTTTCTGAAGGTATATACACATCCTTTTGGGAGAAGACAGAACACTACATGGTACCAAATACTAACAAAAAAAAAAATTCACACCATGGAAGGGCACATAAATAATAAAGACATTCAACTGCTGAGACTCAGCGACAGGAGGCAGCCTGTTCTCCTTTCCCGAGACGGAGACACCCCGCTCGTCCCGCGAGGACAGCGGGCAGCTCATCCCGGGGGTGCCGCCTCATCCCCGCACGCAACGGCCGCGGCGCGAGCTCAGCGGCCACGCCTGACAGACGCCCACAGCCACGCCCGCCTCTTCCACGTGCTCACGCGCGGTCGGGCGTGGCGACGGCGGCTGTGTGGGAAGGATTGTCCTGTTTCTCGGTTCGACAGGGAAGACGTCGCTGTCCTGCCCCTTCTGCGGGACGCCCAGGCCAGCACCGCGCCCACGGCTCCGGGACGGGGGTGCCGAGGAAGCCCGTCGTCTCTGACCGCCGCGCTCGCCACGCACGAATGAGGTAGAACACACAGCCGCCTGTGCCGCCCGCCCGCCCGCCCGCCGACCGCCTGCCCACCCTCCCTCCCTCACGCAGTAAAGTCACCGGCGGAAGTCGGTGTTTCGAATAATCAGACGGTGTGCTTTGTTTGCATCTGAGAAAGAAAGAAATAAAACGGGGAGTGAATTTCCCAGTTGTGACTGATTTTCCTGCCAGATGCCGACATCTCCCCCCGTTCACGGGGCTCAGGAGCAGGCTCAGGGCAGCCAGGGCACCTCGTGGGTGAGGAAGGGGCGGCAGGGAGACCGCGCCCACGCGACGTCCTCTCGGCTCCCGCCTCCTGCTGGCGTCGGGCTCCTAGGACGATTCATCGGAGCTTCGCTACAAGGGGTCCCGTTCTTACGTGAGCTCTGCAGAAAAGTTACATGTCAACGAAGAAGCGGCAGCCCCCCCGGTGGCTGAGGGACTGGCAAGTCCGGGTGGCTTTTCTAAGTAGCAAAGTTTCTCATGTTGTCTGACCTTAAGACAAAACAGAAACGGAACAGCATTTTTTTTTCATTTCCCTTAAATCAAAAGACTATTTATAAAATACTTTACATCTTTTTAAACCTTCAAATTATAGACAAACGTCCCTAATACAAAATACTAAAAGTGCAACAGTATAAATTAAGAGTTTGCAACCACATTATACAAACATTTCCTCTTTATTGTACAGCTTGGATACGTGGAATATTCACTCACAACGGCTTATAATGTTGTGACTAGTTTGCAGTGACGTTGTCTGTAACTGGTTCCCGGACCACACTAGAGAACAACCGTCCACATAGCAGCTACAAACATTTAAATTAAAAAAAAAACAAAACAAAAACCCAAAACGAAAGGCATGTTACTGACAGGTACTTGCACACAGAAGGCATGCTATCTTTCCCAACAGAACTTCACAATTTGCCTGCATTGAAATAACCCACTTATTTATAGTAAAACAAATCTCGCTTAAAAAAAAAAAATCCCACAGCCAGATATGTTCTGCTGCACAAAAGCCACCTCTGGAGTCGGGGCTGCATTGTCGGTTACCCGCATAATCGTGACGTCATAAATACTACAGACAAAGGTACTGTCAGGAGACACAGCGCGGGGAGGGTGGGGCCGCGTCGTCCGGCCGGGAGTTCTACAAACGAGTCCAGTGTCTCGCTCCCTCGCGGGACTGCCACCAGGACACTGCAGGGGCCCGGGCTCCTGCCCGGGACGCTCGGGTTTCCGGGGAAACAAAGCGGGTGCGCTCCGAGCCCTTTCGGTTTCCAGGGCGGCCTTCCCAGGGCGCCTCCTGCTGGGACTCGCGTTGATTGACAAGGTTGGAGGATTCTCAAGACCAGTCAAGCTCACCGAGAAACGAGGACCATGCAGTGCTTATGAGACACCCTGCAGCGGCCACTCAATTCGCGCCACGGGGACAAGCGGAAGGAGGGCCCGGGTCGGTCTCTCGAGGGTCACACGCCGCTGTGCTGTGCGTAGGAGGGATAGCGAGGGCGGGCGGGCGGGTGGGCGAGGCTAGTTAATGCCGATCTCCTTGTTGTCCTCAATGAACCTGGTGAATGGCCGGCTGGCGCCCGAGTCGGGGCTGGCTTTGTCCAGGCCCGCGGCCGGCGGGCTGCTGCCCGTGCGTGCCTTGTCCATGCCGGCGGCCAGGGAGCCCAGCGGGGGCATGGCGCCGCCGCCCAGGCTCACGGGGAGCGGGGGCAGGCCTCCGTTCTGGATGACGGAGATCTCGTTGTTCTTCATGGCCAGGCCGTTGGTGATGGCTGCCGCGTACTGGTTCCAGAATCCGGGGTCGACGTTCATGGCTCGCGCGGCCAGGTCCTTCTGGAACATTTCCGAGAACTTCAGGGCGTCGCCCCCCAGCAGGGCCATGGGGTTCTCCACCGACAGGCGGCGGCCGCGCCTCGCAGGGGCGTTGTTCCACATGTGTGTGCCCATGTGCACCTGCAAAGGAGAGAGGGAGGCCACCTCCGTGAGCGGGCACAGGGCCGCAGGCCCCGGACGCACACGCCGGCGCCACTCCCTCGGGGCTTGTTCTGTCCCCACCACGGGCCGGTCCTCGCAGGGCCTGGGGGCAACAGGACATTGTGAGGCGAACTTTTCCACGCATCTCACGCACTCCACCACCACGTTCTTTTTTGTGAAATATAAGAGGCAGAACTAGTCAACGCATTCATGTTTCTTCCAGGAGACGAGCCTGGGAGAACACCTTCTCCCCGCAAGGTATGCGCCCACGAGAACCCCCCAAGGGGGTTCCAAGCTTGGGGCCCCGGCCTCTCTGTCCCCGGAAGTCCTTTCTCGGAGCCTCTGTGGTCACCAGAGACCTCCCGTTGCTCTGGTCCCCTCCCCCTGAGGAGAAGCCACAGTATCGGCCTTCTCGCTCTAAAGAGGTCACGGAGACCCTGGCGGGCACCTGACCTGGCTGGAGGGCAGCACATCGAGCTGCAGGGGACCCGGGCGCACATGTGTTATCTCGCACCTGCCACGCGCCGCCCCCGTCTCCCAGGAACACGGATGCGAGGTCAGACCTTCCCCGTGAACACGGCGCTCGCCATGTGCTCTGGCCCTTGGCCGGCGGTGCCGCCCCTGACGCACAGGCCTCTCGCAGCCGCAGGACAGAGGGCGGGACCAGCCCCCTGGCTGGGCAGCACGGGCTCCTCCTGCCACCAGGTTCCAGGCAGCCGGGCCCTGCGCCGGCCCGCCCCACGGCGCCTGTCACCCCAACAGGCCGCCGGCACGGCATGGGCCCCGAGGGGAGGCGAGGCCCTCTACAGCCCAACAGCACACGCGAGGAAACGTGAGCATGCGCACGGCACACGCACACCCGTGGAGATGCCTGGGGCACACGCATGCCCACGCCCACTGTGGGCATGCACTCACCTGCGTAGCGGCTATACACAGGGGAGGCGCACACTACAGGTGTAAACACGCGCTGCGCATGTGCACCGACCCATCCACACGTGCACACTCACCCACGTGAGCACACCCTCACGCTCTGCGCGTGTGCCCACCCACCGGGCGCCCGGCACCGTCTTGCGCGGGCTTCCCAGCAGCTCGCCCCGCCCCCGGGCTCCTGGCCACCGCCCGTGCCCTCACCTTGAGGTTGCCCTTGGTGGTGAAGGCTCTCCCGCAGATGGTGCAGCCGAACGGCTTCTCCCCGGTGTGCGTGCGCTCGTGGATCTGCAGGGCGCTGGCGGAGGAGAAGGTCTTCCCACACGACTGGCAGTTGTGCTGCTTGGGGGTCCGGCGCGGCGGGGGGGCCAGCATGGGCGCGAGGCCGGGGCCCATCACCGCCTGCGGCCCCGTGGACACCTGGACGGCGGCCGGCAGCGGCGGGCCCTCGCCCAGCGTGACGGCCTTGCTGTGCCCGTTCAGTTCCATTTTGATCAGGGCGGGCGTGGAGCCGGCGACCAGGCCCGTAGAGGCGCTCTGGCTGGGACCTAGAGCAAAGTTGGGGTCAAATAACGGAGAAGGCAGCGCTTTCAGGTCGTGGGTCAGCAAGTGCTGCTTTAAATTACCCACAGTGGAGCACCCGCGCCCGCAGGCCACGCAGACAAACGGACGCTCCTTGGTGTGGCTGCGGTGGTGGATCTGCAACGCGCTCCTACAGGCAAAGGGCTTGCCGCAGACGCGACACACGGCGCGCTCACACTTACCCCGATCCCGGCTCAGGAACAGCAGGCTAAAGGGCGCCTCCTCCTTGACGGCCGGCCGGCTGGGGTGGGCGGCCGTGAGGTCCAGCGCGCCTCCGTTCTCGGGCGCGGGGGGCGGGCTGTCGGGCCTCTCGGTCTTGAGCGGCATGTCCGGCGGGTCCCCGTGGTTGCTGAGGCCCGGGGACTTGGAGGGCAGGCTGTCGCTGTGGCTGTTGACGGGGGACAGGGCCTGCAGGGAGGACGAGGCCTCGGACAGGGCCGGGCTGCCCGCGCTGCGGCTCTCCAGGTCGCCGGCGGCGGACGAGGAGTCGTTGCTGAGGCGGTCGCTGTCCCCGGACCCGTTCTCCACGGCCTTCGCGGCAGCCAGCGGCGGGCAGCCCATGGCGGCGTCCATCATCCGCATCTGGTTCTCCAGCGCGGCGATGCCGGAGATGACAGACGGGGGCGAGGGCGGGCGGGAGGCCGAGCAGGGCGGCGGCGGCCGGGCTGGGGCACTGGCCGCGTCCTTGGGCTCCGCGTCCTCCTCCATGGAGTTCTCGTCCGCATCGTCCTCGAAGCCGCTCAGGGCCTCGGCGGCCTGGTCGTCGTAGGGGAGCTCCGCGTCCACGGCGCCCTGCAGGCCGTCGGGCAGCGGCGTGTTGGGGATCTGCCCGCCCATGTGCATGCGGATGTGCTGCTGCAGCACCACGGCGTTGGTGAACTTCTTCTGGCAGATGGGGCAGGAATGCTGCACGCGCAGCGGCGGCTTCGCCCGGTGCACCCCGAAGTGCGTCTTCAGGTTGCCTTTGGTGGTGAAGGCGCGCCCGCAGATCTTGCACTTGAAGGGCCGCTCGCCGGTGTGCGTGCGGTAGTGCATCTTCAGGGCGCTCTGGCAGCTCAGCACCCGGTGGCAGATGACGCACTGGTTGGGGTCAGTCATCTTCTTGTCGATGTTCTCCACCAGCTGCTGCAGCTTGGACGTCTCGGACGTCTGCATGGAGTCGAGCAGCCCCCCGAAGGGGAACTTGGCCTTGAACGGCTCCGAGCTGGCCGCCAGGACCGGGCTGCAGAGGCCGGTGGAGAGGCTGCTGTCCGTGAGGGCCGTGGCGGCGGACGTGGCCGTGGCCGCGGCCTGCCCGCCGGCGGGGACGTCCCCCGCCCTGGCGCTCGCGCAAGGCAGGCCCAGGGGCTCGGTTTTGGTCAGAGAAGACACGCCGAGCACAGGCTGCGGGGACTCGGCGGTCGCGGGGGCGCCGGACTCGGAGCTGTTGAGGCCGGGGGACAGGGAGGGGCACTCGCTGGAGGCGGGCGAGGGCCGCTGCGGGGAGCGGCTCGCGGGGGTGAGGCTGGGGGAGTCGGCGTAGCCGCCGACGCCAGGGACGGTGGGCGGCAGCTGCAGCCCCACCGACGTGGGCACCGTGGGCAGCACGGGCTTGCTGTCCAGCCAGGTGGTGACCGGCTTCTCCGGCGGAAGCGACATGCCGTAGGGGATGCCGGAGCAGGTGGGCACGTTGTCCAGGTACTCGGGCACGGGGTAGGGGTTCATCTGGATGTGGGGGTACTTCTCCTTGTGGCGCTGGAAGTGCACCTTCAGGTTGCCCTTGGTGGAGAAGCGGTTGCCGCAGATGTTGCACTTGAAGGGCCGCTCGCCCGTGTGGGAGCGCAGGTGGATCTGCAGGGCACTGTCGCTCCCGAACACCTTGGCACAGAACCTGCACTTGTGCTTGAAGAAGGGGTCCTCGGCGCTGGCCTTGGGCTCGAACACCGACACGTTGGGGGGCTTGCCCTTGCGGTGCTTCATGAGGGCCGACAGGGGGTCCAGCGCGTTGGCCGTGGCCGCGATGCTGACCAGCGGGTTGGGGAAGATGACGCTGCTGGCCGAGGTCTGAGGTAGAAGAGGGTTTGGCAGGCTGGGCGCCGCGCTGAGCAGCGGGCCGGGCCCCAGGGCGGGCGGCGTGGGGGCTTTCTGCGGCTGCTGTGCGGCGCCGGCCCCGGAGGCCGGGGTGGCGCACGCAGGGCCCCCGCTGGAGGGCGCCGGGCCGCTGGACTCGGGGGCCGCGGGGCCCCCGCTGGGGACGAGCGGGGTGCTCGCCCCGGACCCCGGCTGTGACAGCGGCGGGGGGCCCTCGTAGGCCGTGGCCTGGGCGGCGGGGCCTGGCGGCGTGGGGGCGGGGGCCGGCCCGGAGGGCAGCTGCAGGGCGGAGTGTGCGGCCAGCCCCGGGAGCTGGCTGGGGGCAGGCCCGGGGGCGCCCTGGGCCCCCGGGGCGGCCCCGGGGTTCAGCGGCGGCCTCAGGGGCTGGCGGCCCATCATGGCCACCTGGCTGCGGATCTGCTCGATGAGCTGCAGCTGGTGGATCTGCTGCTGCTGCAGCGCCATCAGCTGCTCCAGGATCATGGGGATGGCCGCCGCGGCGACCCCACTGCTGGAGCCCGCCGCGCCCGCGGCCCGCGCGCTCTGGGAGAACTGCGCCACGGCCACCTTGGTGCTCAGCAGGGTCTCCAGCGTCACGTTGGTGCTCGGCATGCCGTAGGCGGCGGCGGGCGCGGGCGCGGGGGCCTGAGGTAGGGGCGGCTTCCCCGGGAGCGAGGGCCCTGGGCTCTGGAAGCTCTTGTCGGCCGCGGGGGACTCCACGTCCATGGGCTCCTCCTCCTTCTCGGGGGCCCTCACCTCGCCACCCTCCCCGCTCTCCGCGGGGGCCGCCTCCTCGGGAGCCTCGCTCTCCGCCTGTTCGCTGGGAGAGCTGGCCGGGGAAGGTTCCGGAAACTCCTCGGAGGCCGGGGCCGGCTCATCTTCGTGGACGATGAGCACCAGTGGGTTCTTCGTGCAGATCTTCTTGTGCCGCAGGAAGTCCGTCCACTTGAAGAACTCGGCACAGCACCGGTCGCACACGCTGGTGTCCTCGCCGCCGCTCCTGCTGTCGTGCCCGCTGTCGCCGTCCTCCGCGCCTTCCCCGGGGGCCGCTGTGGACAGCGAGAGACTGCGTCAGCCAGGGACCCGCCACCGCAAAACTTCGCACGCGCGTACAATCAATATTTTTTATTTTGTACAAATTACCCCACTCCAACATTTCTGACACCCAGCGCGGGCGCTCCGCGGGCCCTGCGAGCTGGCTAATCATTTTCTTAGCGCCATCCATCAAATTATGAGGCTCTATCAATTGTGGATACTGCTTCTTAATGAAATTCCATAGAAGCCATTGATTTCCAATATTTTCATACAATCCGCGGCCGCCCTGTCTGTGGGTACAAAGCCAGCTTTCGATGGGCTCATTAGGATTCTCCCTACCATCCGGCCTCCTCGTTTCCAGCAAAATTAGAGATGCCTTTGCCAGTTCACTTAACATCGCTAAACTAATCTGTAACCTTTCAAACTCGCGTCAGCCCTGACAGCGAGCCGGCCGCCGCCTCTGCGCGCTCCGCCGCAGAGATTTATCATCTTTATGCAGCGGGAGACATCACAGGTTTAATGTAATTCTAGAGAACCTTGCAGGCCAATGGGCAGTTATTTCACGCAGGAAATTTCAGCTAAATACTTGCATTTGTAAATGTAACCAAGAAAACAGCACCTCTCTCCTCCCTGCTCACAAGCGTCACCTACCCCGGCCCATCGTCCACGGTCGGCCCCCGGCTGCTCGGCCCCGCGGGAGGCCCTCGCAGGGCGGCCCACTGAGCGTCCGCGACGTGGTCTGGGCCTGAGAGTACCCGTGTTTCACACCGTTAACGGGCTCTCTCCGACGCAATATTTCTTGGGGAAATGAACCAAAATTACACGTCACCGGCATCAGCCAATCGCGTTCGGCGGTCAGCTAACAAACTAGAAATTACATATGTAAAGTTCATTTACGTTGACATGTTTAACGTGAGAACGTTGTGTAGTCCGACACACTTTTTCTACCTATTTTCATCTGTTCTCATAGAAAGACTTAGCAAATTATATGCTTGCGCCAGAGTGGGAAACCCTCTAATTGGTTACACATGTTTAATTACTGTTGTAGGCAGCTACTTCCTGACTTCCCTAACCCTCTTGTGCCGAATAACAACCACGTTTAATGAACAATTCTAATTCACACCTGATCAAATAAATGGCTGACCAGGAACAAGGAATCAGCGTGGGCTAAGGTTCCCGGCTCCTGTGCTCTGGCGGTGGGGTAGGAGGCAACGCGCCGTAATTACTCAGCTCCGTGTGCCGGCCGGACGGTCCTGCCTCGCAACTGCTTTTTGTCAACTTACAGACGAGTGGCAGCAGCGATCAGGTCCACAGAGAGAAATGACAGCTGCAAATCAGCTCTTTGTCCCCCTGCAACGCTGAGTGCAAGAACAACACACCCTACTCTTGTGCCCCGGAAATAATTTACTGCTGTTCCCTCCGCAAACGCACTTGCTACGAAGTCTCCCTACTTTTCCTTGTAGGGTTTTGGGAAAAGAAATAATTCGGCCTGATTTCAGGAGGAGAATCTCGTGTCAAAAAAGAGTCCTGGATCAACAGTAGCCCCTCCGCTAGAAAAGAAAATAAAAACATCTTCCGAGGCCGACCTGCCTGCAGCTCCCCAGGAGGCCATCCCTGCCGGGTGCGCTACACACGCCTTTAAAGAATTATTAGCAGTGCTCAATTAGCATTTTCTTAACTGGCTGACCCATGGGAAGGGGAAAAGCTAGAGCTTGCAGCCCATAAAGGCCCTGCTGGACTTTAAAACTCGAGTCCGGCTGACGGTCAGCAGGGACGAGCCTCATTACCGGGGGAAGGAACGCGGCCGGCGTGGCTGTGGGGCCGAGTGCGCCGGGGGCCGAGTGCGCCGGGGGCCGAGCCGGCCGGCGTTTGCGGCAGATGCGCGCGCCGAACTCTGTTCCGGGTGTGCAAAATCCCACTCTCCACCCGCCGAGGTCCCGACATGGGACAAAACCCAGGAACACTCAGGTCTTCAGGTTAGCAGTTTTTTAAAGATCCGTCAACACGGGCCGCCTCAGGCCCCCGGCGCGGGCGTAAGCCCTCACCATGCCCCGCACCGAGGCGCGGCGTTCACGGTCCTTGTGCGCGTGTGGAATGCTCTGCGGCGGCCCCAGGACGTCCACACGCAGCGAGCCATCGCAAGGGCGGTGTCCCTGGACAGGGGCAGAATTCTCAGAGTTGTTTTCCAGCGTGTTAGAGCGACGATAGCGAGGCCTGCCGGAATCTTCACACCGATTTTTATTTTAATGCTCTCTCCAAAGGAAAACATCCAGAAATCAATTCTGAAATACTCTCTACCTTTAAATCCTAAGAGGGGATGAAGTGTTTTACCTTTTGCGTGACAGAGAGGGGCCTTCACGTGGTATATCCATTTAAAATTTGACAGTTAAGCCCCGTGTATGTCTTGGTCAGAGACTCCTTTATGTGGGACACATGCGAGGGGCAGTTCTCCGAGAAAGTGCTCACAAATGAGCTGATTTCTGGATCATTTTTAGCGTGCAGAGCGTCGGAAGACTCCACTTACTTAACTGTAAATAAACTGCACTCTCACAAAGGGCACTTCCGGATTCTCCCTGCAGAAACCGGGCCGGGGGGCCGGGGGGCCGGGGCTAGGGCTCCCCGTCCTGCACCCACGGCCCCTTCCGCCGAGTGCTTCGTCAACCCAGACAAATCGACCGAAAGGGGCGTTTTCCCACTTCCATTGTTTTTTTCACAGGTTCAGTACTTTTAGGGTTCACCTCCGGATCCACGGACGTTGGGAACTGTTCCCACGGGCAATTTCCTTCTTTCCCACTAGCAGGTTCTCAACTGTAGAAACTTTCTCCCAAATAAGTCATTTTGCTTAATGCAATGATAAGTGATAATTACCTAAACATAATGAAGATACTCTTGTCAAAGTAAAATCGCTTTCCACTTACATTCCTTTAAAACTGAAAGAAAGCAAAGCCAAAGAGAGGAAATTGTGTAAAAATGGCATCCTGACCATGTGGATCTGTTAACAGTCATTATGTTAATGACCCTAACGAAAGAGAGAATTGCTAGGTTTTATAAGCAAAGTTTCAGAATAAATTTGCCTTTTGCTTGAAACACATTGAAAACACTACAATTAGCAAAGGGAAAAATTCTTCAGTACCATCTAGGTTTCTTATTTTGGATGAATCATTTAGAATCACCACTTACAATCCGCCCCCCCCCCCCCCCGCCCCGGCTTTGTATAAAATCTCAACCGCACGGTCCGCTCAGTCGCTGTTCTCAGCTGCTCGAGCTGCGGCTGCCCCACCGTCAAAGGCTGAATGTGATGAGCTTTCCCCAGAAGTTACAGAGAGGCACACATTTCCTACAACAGTTTGGAGTAAAACGTGTTCAAATAAAAACGTCACTGGTTCATGGTGGAATTCAAATTTTGGGCGCATATTTTAAGAATGTTGTTAAACAGCAACAATAAGCCCTTCAACGGAGTTGATTGGTAGGAAATAAGCCAAGGAGCTGAGCGTGTTGGGGACAGAGCCCTTTGAAGCGGGGCTCCAGAGCGGGGTGCAGGCCGGCTTCTGCCGTGCTCAGAGGGGGACATAAAATAAGCTGTTATAACCTGATGGCTCTTCTCGTTACAGTGACGGAACGTATCGTGTTACCGCGTGTATGTGCTAATCTGGCAGTATTTATTCATTTTAAAAAATGCCGTCTGGAACAAGGAGACACGTGTGGGAAAAATCTGAACGCAGCTCGCATTGCATAGCTTACAGAGCCCTCTCATCCTGCCGCTGTTTCAACCTGATTATTAAGTCAGATTCAGATGTATGCAACCATCTTTTAATTAAATTTACATTTAAACTGGCCTCTGTGTTCTAAAAATAGAAGTTATTACCCCCATTAGTTAATGTGGCTTAAAATTTTTATTTCGAGGTAAAAGGATGTCCACGAACCCGTCACAACAGTAAGTTGTGTGGTTCTGAGAGATTTATTTCTAATGCACTTTCTTTCTTGGGGGGCGGGGGATGGAAAAACAAGAATTGTAAACACGATCACTACAGCCAAAGCCGTTTATTTCTCACATACTGACTCCTCGATGGCCGAGATTTCACACTGTGAGCAGGCGAGGCGGAGGCGGGAAGGTGTCCTGTGTGAGGGCTGCATCAGAACCGGCCCCACCCCCGCGCCTCCCCGGGGGTGGGGGGGGGGGCAGGGACAGGCTGTCCCGGTGGCTTGTGTGGCAGGAGGCGGCCGGCCCGTCTGCCTCAGGGACGTCACACCTGTGCCCCCCACCCCGAGGGGCCAGGCCGGCACCGGGCTTCATGCCGTGTTTCCTGAGAGCGTCAGGAGGGAGGAGACAGCTGAACAGAGGCCACCGCAGCTCCAGAGGAAACGTTTAATCAGCTCACAGCGACCCCCACACTGGCTCTTCGGACCTGCGACTTCTCCGACTCCTTGCCCACGCCAGCCTTCCTGCGCGAGCCCCCCTTTCTCACCTCCTCCGGGGAGAGAGAGGGGGTCCCAGGGCCTTTCAGAGAAAGTCCCCAACAAAGGGATGGCTTTGATGACAGACTTACAAACACAGGGGTTTTATCTCTTCTCACTAATAAAACACACAGAATCTGTAACAAAAATGTCCCTCTTCTTGGGATCAACTCTCTCAGGGTGAAAGGCCCTCCTCCCTCAAAAATAAACACCAAAACCACACACAGAAACCGCCCCCCCTTCCTCGGCTGTAATTCCTGCTGTTACATAATAGACGCGGATCATGTCTCACTGTCCCCGGAGGAGGGCAGAGTGTCCACACCCAGGAGGACCTTTTTTGAAGCCGCAAGGGGAAAGCATTGTTGCAACACATACAACAGCAGCGCAGGTAGAAGGCGTTCCTGAAACACGTCAGGCCGCAGTGTTCCCAACGGCAGCGCGGCTTCGGGTGCCCCCCTGCGGAGCAGGGCGCCGCGCAGACACGCCGCCCCCCGACGGAGAAGGCCCCCACAGGCGTGGTCCCACTGTGTCCGAGCCTCCAGAGCTCACCTTTCCCGGC